GAGGCAGAAGGATCGCGGGAGCCCAGCCGGTCGAGGCTGCGGTGGCCGCTCCAGTCTGGGCGACAGGGAGACTCCAACTCAAAAAAAATAAAAATAAAAAAAAAATTTAAAAAAAAGTATGAATGCATTTCTAGATCATTGTAGCTCCACTGCATGTTAATGTAAATAGTATTTTGTGAAAATTTATGGTTTTTCCCCAAACAGAAGATAATGAGTGGGAAGCACAGCAGCATCTTCAACATCGTCTCCAGTGCAGGCAATGGATTCTGTAACTCACTTCTGCATTCATCCTTCAGCTGCACAGCTTCTGTGAATGCCTGGGAAGGGAACAACTTCCCAGGCAAGGCGTGGGATGAAGAAGGACCTCGCAGAACCCTCGAGATGGTGTCCTAAGGCCACAGAACTCCTCAGACCCCACTCTGATAAAACATCTATGGCTGTATTTAATGCCATCCTTCGATTTCTTACAAATGAGCTGACTCCCGCAGGGTCTCTCAAATGTTATGAATTAACAAGTGCATCAGAAATAAGAATTCTCAGCTCTCATGATCCCTGCGCCCACCTATGCCTTTACACTCCTGCAGGAGAGGAACCAAGGCCAGCACAGAGCAAGCCGGGGCAGCGAGGGGCCACGCTGACCTCTAGAAGCCCCAGTTTCTGGGCTGGGTGGGGGCTCAGCATAGCTGAATGAACAGGGGTTCTCCCAGGCTTCCCCGTGGAATTATCTTCCCAGAACTGGGCAGACAGCTGACTGCACTTCTGTCCAAGCTGCCCTCAGTCCTGGCACCCCAGGGACCTTGAGAGATGGCCCTGGACACCGCTGAGCATCTGAGAATGGGGCGTCATCGGACATGCAGATGGTCCGTGCCCAGTCCCGACCACTCCAGGCATCCCTCAGCATACACAGCCGTGAACACGCAAGCAAGGGAAGGAGGTGAGTGGAAGCTTCCGCCTGTTGGAGGGACACTGAGGCCAGTCCCAGGGAGCCCAGTGCTGAGTCTGTTCTATCAGGGCCCTACAGGCATCTCCCACTGAATACATTTGCTTTGTTTTGTATTGAATCTCAGAGGTCCTGGCTTCTGTTAGCAAGCATAAGAGATCAAAAAATATGGGAGTTTTTGGTTTGGTTTTTTTTTTTTTTTGAGTTGGAGTCTCACTCTGTCGCTCAGACTGGAGTGCAGTGGCACGCTCCTGGCCACCACAGAGGCTCAGCTGTCATCCCAGCACTTTGGGAGGACGAGGCGAGTGGATTGCCTGAGCCCGCAGGTTCGAGACCCACCCGGGCAATTTGGCAAGACCTCATCTCTACAATAAATCAAAAAAGGTGTTTTTAATTGGTATTACTGTTTCAGGTTTTAGAATTTTCCAAGTAAATATGGAAACCCAGCAGCTGGAGTCCACTGCAGAAAGCACCAAGAGGAGCATTTGTGCACCTGCCAGAAGAAGAAAGTAGGAATAGGAGAGCTGAGGGGGCTTGGGGGCGCATTCAGCCCTCGGGGACCAGAGCTGTCCCTTCCCCCCAGGCTCGGAAGGGACAGGACTGCCACTGGGTAACCTGACAGAAGCTTCTCAGAGCACCAGAAGGGCTACACTACAGGAGAATCCAGGTAGGCAGGTCCCCTGCTTTGCTCCCAGGTGTGGCTGAAAGAGATGCAACTGACTTGTAGACAAAGTTTGGACTTGCCATGGCCCTGCCTGAGAGGGAAACCACGAGGAGGGGTCTAGAATGGCAGGGACCACACAGGCCAGTGTACCCTGGTCCTGCCCAGCCCGGCATGGGTCCCAGGAGGCCATGGAGTGCTGAGAAGACCAGGGCTACAAGACAGTCAGGAATTAGGTCTAGGAGGACACAGAAAGTCAGTGGGTCAAGAAAATGTGCTGCCACTTCCAGAGCTCTATGATGCCCAAATCTCTCTAGAGCCCATTCTAAAAGGATGAGACTAGAGAGGCCAGAGGGTGACGGTGGACCCCCCACAGTGTACCCCGATTCTGAGAAAGCAGGACCATGAACCCCGGAAACTAAGAGTCTTCATGCCAGCAAAAAGGAGAAGGTGGGGAGGAAAAGTCTAAATTAATCCAGCTGTTGCCCTGAAGTGACTGCACTAAAACCCCACAATGGCCAAGTCCAGTTAACTTGGTCAGATTAAGTAAGATGGGTAAGATTAAGTATTTAGCAATCAGTGGAAAAATTAAGTAGAAAATTTTAGAAAACTTCTACGCAGGAGAGTGTAGATGACTATTATGGCTGTACATGTTGAACCTGCTGGGTCCATAAGGCTGACAAGAAACGCAATGAAATACAAGCAATGGAGGATGCCAGAAAGCAGGAAGAATTGTTCCTTCAATTTCAATGTTCACAATTCCTTCTACCACAATTCCTTTTACTAAGCCCCATGATGTGCCAGACACTGTATAAAGCACTGAACATAATAAAAATGAATGAAAAGAAAGAAGGTCTTTGTTTTCAAAGCACCCCTGCTACAAGGGGAGGGCAGAAGAGCTGAAGCCCAAGAACCCCACAGACCACCGTCCACCCACAGAGACCAGCTAGTCAACTCAGTCCCAGGAAGTCTCGAGCCTTGGCAGGGGTTGCGAGGAGCCCATGTGTCTGTCCTTAGGGTGCTCTCTCCAGGAACAGTTTCACAAGTGCACTTGCTCTTGGTATCAAAAAGGAACAAAAAGGAACATGAAAGGCCAATGTGAAATCCAGCACAAACATCCAATCACATCCGTGGAAGGAAACAACGGGGGCAGGGTAGGGGTCTCTCTGTGTATCTTGACTTCAACTTTTCACTGTGGAACTGAGCCATGCATATATTTGATGTAGTTAAAATAAAAAACTGAATTAAAACAGCAATACTTAAAAGATTAAAGCCCAAATGAAATAAACTTAACTGTTACCACATGGGCAACATGACCACATAGAGACAAGTTATTCCAAGTGACATGAAAATGCATATTTTACTCTATATCTAGTATAATATAATTCAAGCACAAAAATAACCACAAAGAAATCTTAAATTGCATCCAATAGTCTTATCGTTGAAAATAATACAGGCAATGTTATTTTGAACCTACTATAAAAAGAATGAAATAATATTACTCGCATTAGGATTTTCAGCAACACAGTAAAGATACAAATATAAAAATCAAAGGAGTATGGTAAAGTGAACTGAAAAGCAATGACAGCCCAGATTATGGGCTTGAAAAACTATTTCCCACTAAAACAAACAAGGGCTTCTAGGAAAATGCTGACTGTGAAGATGCTACTCAGAGGTGACGGTCCTCAGGAGGAAACAGGAGCCATTCTGAATGGGCTGCCACAGTCAAAATGGGAAATTAGAGCACCAAAAATAAAAAAGATGGCAATGAGTCAAAACACATCATTTTTTTAATCCATGTATTCATAACAAGGTACTGATTCATTATTTTGAAAACTGATAAGCAAATGAGAACTGAGCATGTACTATTTCTTAGAGAAACCAAATAGCTGATGAGCAAATATTCTTCTTTTAAATAAAAAGTCATGAGCTAATGAATGCAGAAGAAATTATGGAATTAAAAACCACCATCTTGCAAACCCAGCTGAAACACAAAATCTCAGCCATGACTGCGAGACAGCTGCTATAAAAATCACTGGGTGCAATGTAGATGGGAGACCAGTAATGTAGGGGTTCATGCTGACAACTAATTCACCATCAACCTCAACCTGGCAAGAAGAAAAAGCAGCCAGAAGCAATGAGAAGTGCACAGGTTTTTTTGTTTTATTAACTCTTCCTCATCCAGTTTGTTAAGAGAAAAAAAAAGACACAAGAAACTGCTAAGTTTTCTGAAGATCTAACAG